CCACATTTGAACTGGATGTTGAAGACTATGCCATCCTTGGGAGCTATACATTTTTTGTAGTCCATGTCCTATACTTGCAAGTTGGAAGGTAACTTTAGAGATTCAAAGTTTTTTTTTTAAGTTTCATACTATCTAAGTCTTTTTTAAGAAGAAGCAAGCAATATAGATGTTTTAAATTTTTGGTAGGGTCATGATCAATATCCTTGTAATTAGTTCCATATGTCAGTAACTTCATCTGAGGGTCTGCCAAGATATAACTGACAGATATGGTTTTCCTTGTGCCTCAATTCCTTTGGCTGTATCTCTCATCCTAAAGGTACTGTTAAGAGGCCACCTGCAATAGTAGGAAGAAAAACATATTTTTAATTTGATCTTTACCCTAAGGCTGAGTCTTAATGGGACTTTGTCCCTCAAAGCCTTTCTTAGTCTTCTCTCTTACCATTTAGGGTCTTGAAACACTTGACTTTTCCATCCTTGTAAGTCTCCAAATTTGTGGACTTCCTCTAGTTCATTCTTTTTTTTCCACATTTTTTCCAAGCTCATCTCTTTTTTTCAAAGCCTTGCTAAATGCTGCCAATAATAACCAACACATACAAAACCTACAGGCATAGTAAGCTTGCAATCTGTTTTTTAAATTACCATGGGAAAGATTTCCAAGTACTTCACCACTAGTACACACCAAGGATCTCCAGGCTTCCAGCCTCCAGCATCAGCTTCCTTGCTGCCTGCTAGGCCAATTTTAGATGTTTGTTATGGCAGCCCATCACTTGAAGGTACTAATTTCTGTATTCATCAGGCAATGTTAGCTACTGTAATAGAGACTGTCACAGAATTAGAGAATTTTAGAACTAAAAAAGGAGTTTAGGGATCACGCAGTACATACAACTCCTCTTCATTTTAGGAATTGGGAACCATGACAGGAAAATACTTAAGGCTTGCCCAGAGTCACACAGTCACACAGAGGCTGTACAGCGAGCGGCCTGACTGAGCCATGACAAGCTTTGCCCCTTCAGCCCTAGCTTAGCCTGGCTCACACTAGAGGCTTAATGAATATTTTTCAAATTGGATTGGGGCTAAAGATTAAGTCTAACTCTACAAGGCTTCCCTGAGGCTTAGACAAAAAGAGAATAGGGAAGGAAAATTCAGGAAACAATTGGAAATACAGTAAAAATGCCTCAACAATATAGATTAAAAAACCTAAATTATTATGTATCTTTTGTACATCTTCATACTTTAAATATTAATAAAAATCCTAAGGATATACTGATGGCATAGATTTGAGATAGAAGTTTTAATATGGTCTTACTAATAAGCCATTAGTAAGCTTTAAGCCATTCAGCTTAAAACCCCTACAAAATGATTGACTCAACATTGTCCCTTTACCCTGGTTCCCAGTCTTCCCCTCACCATCTCTGAGCTTCTAGTGATGGGGAAGAGGAGGGGTGGAGATCATACTTGAGGCGAAAGGGGCCATGGCTAAGGAAAGAGGTGGTTGGAGGAGATGTAAACCATCATCTTTACATTTTGATGCTGGGTGGGAAGTAGCCTGCTGAGATTTCTGTGTCAATACCCTCTTCTACACCACGTCAAAATGTAAAGATAGGCCTGCAAATTTTAGAGAACATAACACTTTTAGTGTAGGACAATGTCAGGCATTCCTCAGGGCTCTATAATCCTGTCATTCATTAATCCAGGTGGTATTTATGAAGCACCTGTTCTGTACCAGGCCCTGTGCTGGCACTTAGGATAAACACAACATGATACAAGCATTGTGCCAAGATCTTAGAGGTGACGGAATTTGTTAAGTTTCAGAATGTTCTACTGAACACTTCAGAATGTTATTAAATTACAGAATGCTGTATAATATTGGGCATCATGGTTTTGAAGGTGATAAAAGTTTTCATGGACATAGATGTGACTCTCCAGAATACTTACTGTATCTTCTGCCACAGAGGCAAGAAAGACAAGCTTGGAGTCAATTTCTCTGGGAGCTTTTTTCACCCTCGGAGTCAATTTCTCTGGGAGCTTTTTTCACCCTCGAGCATGAAAAGGATTCTATTTACTTATTTGAGGATGTTTTCATTTTCTGGATGAGCACATCTTTGGATTTTAAGTCAAAGTCATTGTAAAAGCTGAATTTTCTCTTGAGGAAATTATTTTACAGACTGTTACAAGAGCTGAATAAGAAAGAATGCCTGCATACCAAGATTCATTATTTGTAAGATATAGAGAATAATCCCAGAGAATAAATAAATTCCCAGGCAGAATTATACCATAAAGATAAATTGTGTCAACATAACATTAATTTATATGGAAAAATTCTTGTTCTTTTAGAAATCTTTTATAGAGAGTATTAGTAAAAAACAGAATTTAGACATATTGATTATTGCAGTGCTGAGTTTCAGTTAACTGAAGATGGCATGTCACAAAATCATGCGTATGCTGAACTGGCATCTGAACAGGACTTTTTAGAACATAATTTAGATATTAGTTGTGGTTTCCTAATCAGTACCTATTTCTCATTTTGATTTAGAGTAGAGGCAGTGTGTATTTCAATTTCTGATTCTTGGGCCTAAAAAGAAAGTCACCTTCACACATTATCCTGATAGACTTGAGTACATCCATAAAAATAAAATTCACAAACAAATGGAGGTAATTAGTAAACATGAAGACATTCAACATTTCTACCAAGCAGAGAAATGCAAATTAAAACCAAGCATAATAATATTTTTCCTTTGTCAATTTGACAAATATTATAAAAGATTGATGCTAACTTATGTTGGTGAAGTTGTGAATAAACACACTGTTGAAGACTATTTACATTGATAGTGATTGATAAACTCTGGAGGAAAGTCATTCTTTTTTTTTTAGAGAGGGAAGGGAAGGAGATAGAGAGAGAGAGAGAGAAACATCAATGTGTGGTTGCTGGGGGTTATGGTCTGCAACCCAGGCATGTGCCCTGGCTGGGAATCGAACCTGTGACACTTTGGTTCCGAGCCCGTGCTCAATCCACTGAGCTACGCCAGCCAGGGCTGGAAAGTCATTCTTATTGCTTATCCTGACATGATTTTCTGAATCATATTACCATGTCTTAAATGTACAAACCCTTTAAAATTAGTGATGTACTTTTTGTGTGAAAAGCACCAATATAAAAAATAATATGAGGAGGATTGTGAAAAGACTGACATTACCCGGGATCCCTCACTTCAAGAGGAATTTGTGTTCTCACTTATTTGTTTGGAGGATCATGGGTAAAGGACTATGACAGATCCACATATGTGTGGCAATCAATAAAAGACTTATTTTAAAATTAAGGATATTAATTTTACATGTTGTACTTGCATCTAATCTGAGGATTCATCATGATTTGGTGAAACTTCATTGGCTGGATCCTAGGCCTAGCTTTAATTCCAACATTATCTGCATCACAGGGTGAAATGAGACAACATCCTGGTTTCACAGGTGTTTGGGCAGAGGTGAGGCCCCTAGAGCAGCTGCCATGCTCTTTATTCCACAGACTCTGCTGCAATAGCCAATTCCTTTTTCTTTGTAGTTTCTCCTTTATTATTATTATTTTTTTAATTTTGCTGCTAGGGACATCTCTCAAGTCTTTTTTTTCTCCCATTCTACAAACAAATAATTTCAGGCATTGGTGCCAACAATTACTAAGCAAAATAAGGTAACATACTTGTCACTATATCATGATAGTTTTAGCCAAGGTAACATTAACATCAGTATAATATTTTACTGTACTATGAGATCTGGCTACAGTTAAAGCTTTTAAAAATCTATTTTTTCCTAACATGTTTTATTTTAGTAGGTGAAAAAAATAAGGGTCTCAAAATTATTATATTGGTGGATGTGGACAGTTGAGAAGCTGCTGTTTTTCTGGGCAGCTGATGAAAAAAGGATGCCAGTAGAGTTGCATCTTGTGCATAGTATTTTCACAACAATTAAGGAAAATCCACCAAAATTGCTGACACCTTTTGGGTGTGGATCCAAACATAAGCATCATACCTCTTAATTATTTTAATGTTAGCATTGATAGAGATTATCTTTTACAAAACAAGGGAATGTCTTTAGAATCTGTCTCCATGTTTTTTTTTAAGAATCATTTAGTATCCCTATTGTTATTAAGTAAGACACATGGATTTAATGAAGATCGAAGGAATGACTCATCAGGCAGGTCACCTCATGAAAGGATAGGTACCTGGCATATAAATACCACCAGGCCTCTAAAGAGAACTATTATTCTAGTGAAAGAAAATTACTCTGCTCAGAAAATCATATTGATGAACATGCAAAGATTCAGGGAAGGAAATGAACAAAATGCACGTCACCCATTTATAGGCTATATCTTTTTGAACATTTTGTCTCTCCTTATTTCCGTAATCTACTTGGATTATATGATTACATTTTAATGGGCACATGCCTAAATAATCAGGAAATAAAGAGCACCCAGAACACAACAGGAAAATCCTGCTGTAGATCTGCCCTAAGAGTTCCAATGCATTGTCAAAATAGAGTTAGGTCATCAAACCTGTAATTCCACAGATAATGTGGCTGAGAACAAAGCTAGGTTTAAGAAATTATATTAAAAATATTAATGAGTAGTACTGATGGTCATTTGATATGGCAAAAATCATGTGGGTATTTGAAAAACTGAACTAACAAGCAAAATAGAGACAGACTCAAGAGAGCATGCTGACAGCTCTGGGTGGGGAGTGGGTAGAGGGAGTGGAAGGATGGAGCAAAAAAGAAAAAAAAAAGAGAAAGATCTCATGGACATGGATAACAGTGTGGTAATTGTGGGGTGGTAGGGAGGAACGGGGGCGTATGGAGGTGGAAGACGATATAAAAGTAATTTAAACATAAAAATAATGTAAAATTAATAAAATAAAAGATGAGACAATTCATGGTCTCATTTTACTTTATCTCATGACCTGTATTTTGAGTTGCTATAAGCAGATGTGCAAATGTCAATGTATGTCATTTTTCAGTATGAAGATTCAAAGAAGACTGCAGGCTTGAATACATAGAGTGTGTTTTCTCAGATGTTTTCATTCACATTGGAAATAGCAGGACAGTGGATATATTGCCTGGCTGGCCACCACTGGGAGCAGCTGCTTTGCCTAGAAAAATTCTTCTGAAAACGTTTCTTAAAAAGGTTTCTTAAGAACTTCCAGTCAAGATGGAGGCATAGGTAAACATGCTTCACCTTCTCATGTACTACAGAAAAAATTACAACTAGACCACAAAACAAACAATACCCGAAACCATCAGAAAATTGAGCTATATGGAAGCCTGACAACCAAGGGTTTAAAGAAGCCACATTCATCCAGACAGGTAGAAGGTGCAGAGATGTGGAGATGGGCAGAGAGGTGGTGAAACAGACAGTCCCACATTCACATGTGGTGGATAAAAATCAAGAGGGATACCTCAGGAGTGAGGGATCCCAGCCCCAGGCCAGACCACAAAGCCCAGGTTTCCAGCACCAGGAAGATAAATCCCTATAACTTCTGGCTGTAAAAACCAGTGGAGGTTGGGGTGGTGGAAGAAACTGCCAGATTTTCAGGAAACTCCTCTTAGAGGGCCTGAATGGACTTAGGACTTGTACAGACCTACCTCCTCTGGGATTCAGCACCAGGGCAACAGCAGGATGGGCACCAGTGGCATATGGGGAGAAAGTGAAGTGATCAGAAACAGGTCAAGTGTCAGGAGACAGCTTCTTCCTAGGTAGACCTCCAGAAGCCAGGCAGTGGGACTCTCCCCTCTTTGAGCCCTCTCCCCACACAGTTACAAAGCGGTGAAATGGATTGCCTCACTCTGGTGACTACCTAAAGCTCTGCTCCACACAATTTATAAGTACTTTTTTTACAATAGGCCACACTGCTAAGACAAGGAGTCAAAGCAACTTTACCTAATACACTGAAACAAACTCAGGGAGGATCCCAAATTGAGGAGACAAAGAAATGTGGCACAAATGAAAGAATAGAACGAAACTCCAGAAAAAGAACTAAATGAAATGGAGGCAGTCAGTAGTCAACCTATCAGATGTAGAGTTCAAAACACTGGTTATCAGGATGCTCAGAGAACTCATTGAGTACAGCAATAGTATAAAAAAGACTCAAGCAGAAATGAAGGTTACATTAGGTGAAATAAAAAAAAAAATCTACAAGGAACCAACAGTAAAGGGGATGAAGCCAAGAATCAAATCAATGATTTGGAACATCAGAAAGAAAAAAGCATTCAATCAGAACAGCAAGAAGAAAAAAAGAACTAAAAAAATGAGGGTAGTCTAAGGAGACTCTGGGACATCTCCAAACACACCAACATCCAAATCATTGGGATGTCAGAAGGAGAAGAGGAAGAGCAAGGAATTGAAAACTTATTTGAAAAAATAATGAAATAAAACATCCCTAATTTGGTGAATGAAATAGACATATAAGTGCAAGAAGCACAGAGAGTCCCAAACAAGTTGGACCCAAACAGGAGTACACTGAGACACATCATAATTAAAATGCCAAAGGTTGAAGATAAAGAGAGAATCTTAAAAGCAGCAAGAGAAAAGCATATTTACCTACAAAGGAGTTCCCATAAGACTGTCAGCTGATTTCTCAAAAGAGACTGCAAACTAGAAGGGACCGGCAAGAAGTATTCAAAGTGATGGAAAGCAAGGACCTACAACCTAGATTACTCTATCCAGCAAAGGTATCATTTAAAATGGAAGGGCAGATAAAGTGCTTCCCAGATAAGGTAAAGCTAAAGGAGTTCATCATCACCAACCCATTATTACATGAAACGTTAAAGGGACTTATTTAAGAAAAAGAAGATAAAAACTATGAACATTAAAATGGCAACAGATTCACAACCATCAGCAAATGAATCTAAAAAACAAACAGCAAACAACTAAAGAGGAACAGAATCATAGATATGGAAATCATTTGGAGGTTTATCAGTTGGGAGGGGGAAGATGGAGAATGGGGGAAAATGTTCAGGGATTAAGGAGCATAATTGGCAGGTATAAAATAGACGGGGATGTTAAGAATCGTAGGGGAAATGGAGAAGCCAAAGAACTTATATGTATGACCCACAGACATGAACTAAGGTGGGGAGATTGCTGGAGGGAAGGGGGGTACTCGGTGGAGGGAGGCAAAGGGGGAAAACTGAAACAACTGTAATAACATAATCAACAAAATATATTAAAAAAAGAAATAGCAAGACATTGTATGTAACATAGCGGCTTTGATACATAAAACTCCATCATGTACTCTTCATATTTATAAATCATCACCAGGAATGACCCAGGAGTTTAGAGGCCCTGGCACAGCACCTAAGGCAGTGGACCAGCAGAAGGATGAAGCAGTAGTGGGACTAATGGTGGAAGATACCCAAGGATCATCCCTCACGTAAAGCAACCCTGAATTTGCGTGATGAAGATTGACCAGTTGGGCTTATGAAGCAACCCCCTGTTTGCTGCCATACGCTCCCCTGTTTCTTTCTTTCCTGGCATTCACTGAAACTCCACAATGAAGGTTCCATGAAGTACACCCAGTGAACTCTAGTTTATATTTTTTCTAATTTTAGATAAATGCATAATTATTGAACACAAGTTTGCTGGCCACTGAATGTGATCTCAAACCTCACTGTGGGTTCACATTACCCTTTCTGGGAGACCCCCGTGTAGTGGAAAGGAAACCCTTCAGAGGAGGAGTCAGTCAAACTGCTCCTAGTCTCAGCTGTGCCATTGACTGGCTGGGTGACCTCCGGGAAGAACTGTTGGCGCCACAGGTAGGGGAAGAGAGAACATCTCAATGTTTCACTCAGCTCCCTGGAGAGATTTGCGGAAAAGTACCTCACTTGCCCATGGTTTTGTCCTTAACTTTACAAGTATTTTGAACATTGAGGACTACTGAATGGTATCAAGGGAATGCTGCTGGATTTAGCAACTCCTTTAGCTTGTGCCAACCAGCAGTGTAACTTACAGTAAGTACATGACGTCCCAGCCTTAAAAAATAAAATCCACCTATTCATATAGGCATTTCTGCTGAATTTAAATGGGAAGTTGTTTCTTTTTATCTTTAATGTTTTACTTTAATTTTAGTCAAGAAATAGTATTGTGTTAGCATTTTCAAGTGAATTTTATGCAGAATATATTTTTTAAAAGTGTGCTTCCTAATAATCCTAGCTCAGTTATTTGTCCTATGGTAAGCTACTTTCATTTTAAAAATAGATCTGTTCTACGAGACTTAACTTGGCCCTGGCTGTTGTCCTCTTATGCGAGTTATTTAATTTAAAAATAGAACCATCTCAGTAGATCTGTATCAACTAGTTTGCGATCGTCTCTAGCCGGAGTAAACGCTGATTGGGCCCTGGGTTCTGTGGAGTCATGGTCGGCAGCGTGGGGATCCAGTGGTGCTTTCCTTTCTGGTGTCCCGACAGAACCGAGTTTCAGTTCCAGGTTGATGAGTTCAGTGTATTTAGCTTGAAAGTTGAAAGTTTTTTCTTAGGGTAAATTTAAGTTTCTCAGGGGCTGGGGGAATTTTATAATTTATTTGGGTGAGAGAGATTACCACTGAAAAGTAGTTAACATGTAACATTTTTGGAACAGGTAATCAGCCCTAGACTGTTTTCAGATCAGTCAAATGACTCTTTTACCCAGAGCAATTTTAATTTAAAACACATTAGTGTGCCATCGGGTATTAAAAACCATCACTATCTCTGTGAATGCATTTTTCTAGAGTACAAGTGCTAGGAACATCATTAAGCACTGATAATGAATAGTTTTTCTATTTATTAAGTCTAAATTGTTTTAATTTTCAACCTTCAAATGAAATTTGATGTTAAATTTTATAAGATGAAAATATGTTTCATATTGTTAGAAATTATTAATATTGATTTTGTGATGTCTTAAGTGTCTTAAGCCCATAATTTTAACACAGAAACTCACTTTGCTTTATAGATTCTTAGAGATGTAATCATTTGTTCACTCTAAAAAGTCTAGAACTTAACAAGTTATGGAAAATAAACATAAAACATGTTATACATCACATACTTTTATTATTAAATTATAGCTTATATATTTTGTTATTTAGTTATACAACTTGACATCATAAAATTAATTTTTGAAACTAGGCTTTCTATCAGATTTGATTACATGATGTGCCATATTGAAATATATTCAATCAGATTTATGAGTTCCTCATCAGTAAGGATATTTCTTTCCTAAAATGATCATTTGTAGAAATTTGCCATCAAATCCTCCCTCTAAAACTCCTGTTTTTTTCCCATCCAACCAGCAGAGAGCACTTTAGCTTATAGTATGAGCATTGTGTATATAAGTGAACACAGTCAGTATCATGCTTTATCGAAGACATGGACTGACAATTATCTTCAGTCATAGTCCACTCATGTCCTATCAATTCCAGTTTATTTCACCAATTTCCTAGAATTTCCATCAGTTTATTATAACTGATAGCTTAAAAAAGTTATTTTTATAATAACATTTCCCCCAAACACATTCTTTGCTGTGTGCTTGGCCAGATATTTTCCTTTTAGTTTTATTTTGTATATTTTGTAATCTTAATTAATTTGCAAACTTTTACATGAACTAAACTAAATGTACTTGCGATTTCTGTATACCTTTGACTTTTTTTAAAATAGCCTCACACTCTGTGGTTACTCAGTAAATGGTTGTTGACAAAAAACTTTTTGAGGGGGTGATGCAACTTAGTAATTCTGTAGACACTAGGAGTCAAAATATGATTCTGTATAGTTGGAGGAACTATCTCTTAGGTTAGATAGTCTTGTTGGCTATGGTACAAATGGGCATCAGGTGTTAAATCGGGGAGTCAGACCTGACTTTGGTTTAGCAACCTCTATACTAGAGTCCTGGCTAAGAAAGAATTCAAAGCCAAGACTCAAACAATAAGAGAAAATTTACTTAGAAAGTCAAAGAGGCAGAAGAAGTGAGCTGTAGAAGAAATGGGCTCAGGAAACAAATTACAGAGACAAAAGAAGGTCCCTTGGAGCTCAGGAGAAAGAAAGGTAAAGGTAATGTGTCTTTGGTGGGTAGGGGCGGATGGAAGAAGCATGGGAGTGTTCCCCAGAGGGACAGTGG